TCTCTCTCTCTCTCTCTCTCTCTCTCTCTCTCTCTCTCTCTCTCTGTGTCACACACACACACACACACACACACACACACACACTTATACTAGGAATATTTTGGGGTATATGGGATCTTTCTTTCATTGACCCTCCTTGGATCACTCCTGTCAGTGGGATCTCTGAGCCAAAAGGTATGGACATTCTAGTTACTTTCGTAGCTTATTTCCAGATCGTTTTCCATAATGCAGACCAATTCACAGCTCTACCACCAGTATGTTTAATATGCCTTTCTTTCCACAACTCCTCCAACTTGAACAATTCTCTTCTTTTGAGAGCTTTATAAGTTTGCTATGTGTGTGAGAGAGAGACGTAAAAGCTCAGAATTGTTTTGAAAAAGCCCTCCTTGTTAACATTAGCATTCTCCCAAGACTCCTACGTGGCTACAAATCATGGAATATGCTTCCATCTCAGAAGTCAAAAGCACCGAGGGCTCAAAAGATGCTGAAGGAATTCATGGTGGGTAGATATTGTCAATGATGATTTGCCCAAGATAATGGCATAAAAGGCAGCCTTAGAGACGTTATGACTGGTACAGGAGAAGGGGCCAGCCGTATGATGGACAACTTGAAGACTGCCCTACAGAGTGTTAAGAGACACATGGGAAGGCCTTCTAGGTGTAATATGGACCTTCTACAGCAGATTCAAGGCAAGAATCATGTAGGCTAAGTCCCAGAGGGGCTGTGATGGACCACCACTGAGGAATATATCTACACTTAAGAAGCCATGGTTCTATCAAAGAATAGTGTATCTTCTGGATCAGTGAATAACGATATATTTTTTTCAACAGTGAAAATCTGACCAAGGAATTCCTCAGAACTAACAATGGTTCAAGATTCCTATCAAATATTCATAAATTATCTCAGTTAGAGAAGGGGACCTGATATCATGGTCAAAATACATTCTAGTCATTTAGTTAACTATGTTCCTCAGTGTATGAACAAATTTATACTACCTCACCTCTATCCCCACCAAACTATGACCTATCAAATTATGCACAGAGGCAAGGTCCACCTGCCCTAAGCCTTTTCTATTCTGCAGCTATCGAAGTGATTTTCCTAAAGCTCACCATGTCACCCCCTACTCAATAAACTCCAGTAGTTTCCTGTCACTTCTAGAATGAAATACAAAATCCTCTTTCAAAAGATTCAGAAGTCTCTCATAACCTTCCCACCCCACCTTTCCAATCTTCTTGCACCTCACATCGCTCCCCCATCTAACGGTAATCCAGCTCCATCGGCTTCCTTACTATTCCTCAGCCAAGACCCTACATCTCCCAACTCAGCATTTTCTCTGGCTGTCCCCAGAGTAGACCATGCTTTCCCTCCTCATCTGTGCCTCCTGGCCCTCCTGGTTTCCTTTGAGTCCCAGCTAAAATCCTTTCTACAGGAAGCCTTTGCCCATTCCCTCTAATTCCAGTGCCTTTCCTATGTTAGTGATTTCCAGTCTTTCCTGTGTATAACTTGTCTGAACAGTTATTTGCACGTTGTCTCCACCATTATATTGTGAGCTCCTTGAGGGCAGCGATTGCCTTTTACTGTTCTTTCTCACCCCAGCACTTAACGCAGTGCCTGCCGTATAATAGACGTGTAATAAATACTTATTCACTAACTGACCCAATTTTTGCTTAGTTTTTTCTTATAAAAAATGAGAGAGCTGCAATTGACTAGAGTTGCTGATGTTTATTTCAATTGCCAATTTGACATTCCTTCTGGCTTCTATTAAGACTGTGTTAGAGCAAAGAGATCCTTGCTTTTGGACTACTGGCTGTCATTATTTCTAATCAACACTCAGCCTGGCTGCTTCATTCTACTTTCTTGCCTTGATAAATACCAAAATCAGCCACTAATGCTCTCTCCAACATTCCCTTGCTGGATAAGACCTTCAAAATCGTGTGTGTGTGTGTGTGTGTGTGTGTGTGTGTGTGTGTGTCTGTGTCTGTGTCTGTGTCTGTGTGTCTGTGTGTGTCTCTGTGTGTGTGTGTGTGTGTGTGAAGAGAGACCAACAGCAACAGAGGGAGACAGAGACAGAAACAGAGAGAAGAGAGAGAGAGAGTTTATATAAACATGGGCAGCTAGGTGGCGCCATAGTGCACAGAGTGCAGAGCCTAGAGCCAGGAAGACTCATCTTCC